AAGCAACTGGCAGGAGACTCCTTGTGAGAAACATCATCAGAGTGAGATTTAGAATCCCTCCCCAGGCAGCTCAAAATCCTCACTATGACAGAGGAGAAAGGACCAAGACCAAGGGTCATGGAGTCTTCATTTTCTCCAGGCCATGAGACTAGTAGGGGCAGAACTGGATGTCCTCAGGCCCACTTTGGACTTGACAGAAGAATACAAAAGAACAGCTCACACATACGCATTATCTGGGAGAATGAATGAAACTGATATGCTTAAAAGCTTCTTCTTGACATTGGTTTGGGCAATGACTTTTTTGTTTTTTTTAATATGACACCAAAAGCACAGGCAACAAAAGTAAAAACAGACTAGTGAATCCAACTAAAAAGATTCTGTAGAAGGAAAGTCAACACAATGAAAGGCAATCTATGAAATGGGAGAAAAGATTTCCAAACCACATATTCAATATTAGGTTAATATCCAAAATATATAAAGAATCCTATAAATCAATAGAACAAAACATGCATTAAAACTTAGCAAAGGACTTGAATAGGTACTTCTTCAAAGAAGACATAGAAATGGCCAGCAGATATGAAAAGCACTTAACTTCATTTAATATCACAGAGGTTCACATCAAAATTACAAGGAGATATTTCTGGTGAGTGTTGGGAGTCCAGCCGGCTCCAAAGACTAACTTCCCCATCCCCCCGAGAAGAGCCGTCCAATAGTGAGCCCTGCTGGCTCACATGATCCTTACCCACCAATGAGACTAGCCCTGCTGGCTCACATGATCCTTACTCACCAATGAGACTAGCCCTGCTGGCTCACATGATCTTTACCCACCAATCAGACTAGCCCTGCTGGCTCACTGATTCTTACCCACCAATCAGACTAGCCCTGCTGGCTCACATGATCCTTACCCATCAATCAGACTAGCCCTGTTGGCTCACATGAACCTTACCCACCAATCAGACTAGCCCTGCTGGCTCACTGATTCTTACCCACCAATCAGACTAGCCCTGCTGGCTCACATGATCCTTACCCACCAATCAGACTAGTCCTTCTGACTCACATGATTCTTACCCACCAATCAGAAAGCACCCCATGCCAACTGTCAAACCATTAAACTGTCATAACTGTCAAACCACCCTGGCTCTATAAATATGCAGAGCTGTTCCTCAATAAACGGGCATTTTTCTCTGAGGAGCCCTGTTCATTCTTTCAGTGAGGATATGGAGAAAAGAGAACCCTTATATACTGTTTGTGGGAATACAAATCAGAATCACCTTTATGGAAAATAGCATGGAGATTACTAACGAAAGCTAAAGGTAGAATTAGTATATGATTCAGCAGTTCTACTTGCACTCCTCTTTTCATTGTAGAAATATTCACAATAGTCAAATTAGAGAAAAAAACTAAATGTCCATAGATATGAGGCATATAATTCCAGAATCCCCTTATATACCCAAACCTACAGGTGCTCAAGTCCTTTAAATAAAATACTGTAATATTTGCATGTAAGCTATGTACATCTCTTATATACTTTAAATCATTTCTTGATGAAACATACACAGGACTAGCATGCCAAAAGCTACAGAATATTGATAAAATAAATCTAGGAAGATCTAAATAAACCCAGACACAAAAATGGTTCATGGATTGCAAGATTCAAAAGTAGCAACGTTACCAATTCTCCCCATGTTAATATACAGGTTTAATATAATTCCTATCAAAATCTCATTAAGTTGTTTGTATATAAGATCATTTTTAAATTTACACATAAAGACAAAGGAGCTAGAATCTGCCAAACTCTTTTGAAAAAGGAGAATGAAATGAGAGAGTCGACCTAATATCAAGATTATACAGTCAAGGAATGAAGACTGTGGGAAGTTGGTGGAACAGAACCTAAAACTTAGAAATGGACTCACAGAAGTATGTCTGACTGATTTTTACAAAAGTGTGAACGCAATTTAAGGGAAGAAAGACAGCTTTTTGACTAATGGTTCTGGAGCCTTTAGGCATCCACGGGTAAAGAAAAGCAGAGGAAGAAAGGGAAGGGGAAGGGGGGCAGGAAGGAGGGAAGGAAGGAAGAAAGGGAAAGGAGGGAGGGAGGAAAAGAGGAAGGTACAGGAAAGGGAAAGAGGCAGAGAAGGAGGGAGGGAGGGGAGTTAAGAAATGAACCCCCACATAAGTCTCACCTCACATACAAGAATTAACTCAAAGGGGATCACAGACTTACATGTAAAATGTAAACATGGGAGTTGATGGGAGGGAGGAGAGAAATGGGTATGGCTATAAGGACAATATCGAGGGAATCTTGTGATGGAAACATTGACATCTTGACTGCATCCATATCAAAGTCCTGACTGTGATACTGTACAGTCATTTTGCAAAATGTTGCCATTGGAGGAAACTCGTTAAGGGTATGCCAGGTCTTTCTCGACTCGTTCTTAAAACTAAATGTGAGTCTACAACTATCTCAAATTAAAAGTCTGATTTCAAGAAAAAAAAAAACTGAAAATCCCTGATTCAAAATTTTAGTACACATTGGAGTTCAAAACAAGAAAGGAAACCTCAATGAGCCAAACGAGAAAGGAAAACATAGGCCAGAGTTGAGTGGGAGCTGAAGCTGCCTGGTTCTGGAGAGATCCATGACCATTCGGACTAGGAATCAGAATTTAATTTCCCAGAAAGGGCTGGAAATGAGGCAAAGGGTTGTGACACAGTCAAAAACAGTACTCACTTTGATAAAGCTGCAGCTAAGAAATACTATGAGCAGGAATTAAAGAATGTCCTGACTATTAGCAGAAAACAAGTATTTGTTTACTGTCCCAGATACAGAGTCCAGAGCATAGGTTCCTAAACCAGGCCACTGGTGGAAGTAGAGTTCCCCAAAACATCAAGTCCCAAACAATCCCATGGAGTGTTTCTCGCGAAGTCATTCAGTGACTGGGCTCTAAAATATTCCAAAATCATCTTGGCCACTACGTGGTTCTCCTATACTTAGAACAAATCTCAAATCTGAATCTGGAAATGCCCACATGGTGGTTCCCACTGATCCTCTGGGGCTCTGTGCAGTTGAAAAAGTCCCAGTTCTGCATACCCAAGTCTGGAGTAATGTTGAGCAGTATGTTGTTTCCTTGGAAAGCAAGGAGAAATTGAGAGCAGTGGTTTTCACCTTTGGCTGCTTGCTACAATCACCTGAAGAGAACAGTTCCTTCTTAGCAATGTTGGATAACACCACTAATAAACACCCACTGTTTCTGTTGGTCCAAAGACCACACTGCTCTAACTCATGAAGAGGCACCTTGGTTTAAAGTTCCTAGGCTCTTATTAGCATGATAATTATTTGCCTAGTGCAGAGAATGAGTTCCCACATTAGTGTTCTCCAGAACAGTGTGGATTCTGCATGTTTGTCTCTTGGATTGTTTAGTTCTATGTGCCCATCCTTCCAGATCAGGGGCTCTTTCTTCTGCTGTGCTGGTGACAGAGGGTAAGGTGATAATGATACTTATTGGTTGGCTTTCATGATTGTGTTGCAGAAATGAGAGATCTAGGACTACAAGGCAAGATGTGACCTGAAGCTAGGGTGAACCCAGTGAATGAGGATGTCTCCCAGTTCCACCAAGCACTACAAGAAGCTGAAAAGCAGAAGAGGGGCTCATTCATGATGTTTTAATGTTTATGGTCTAATTAGGGGAAATGCTAAAATAAAAATCTACATTTGAATATCCAGATGTACACAAAAAGCCATTAAAAAATTCTTTCCATTTACTGTACATAGCAATTCATTCCCAGGGGTCCTTCAGAAGATTTAAACGGTTGTACAATGTTTACAAGAGTTTTCCCACAGTATTCCAGCAAAGCCAAACTCTACAGATACAAGATAAACACAGACCAAAATTTTGAAGAACAAAAATTCTTAGCAAAATGACAGTAATGGTGGAAGGACTTGGGACAAGTGCCTTCTGTATGAATGCAAGGTCACTAGCTGCTTTGCTTGGAAAACCTTGGATACCTGTCACCTTCAGCGCTCTGGAATGTTCCCCTGAAGTCACCCTCCCCGCGCACGCTGTGAGCACCAGTCACTGTCTCCTACTTTGGCAAGAGGAAAAACCTCAAAAACCATCAGCACGGTCCCTAAGCATGCTGGCCATGGCTTGCTGGCAGGATGTCACTGCAGCTGCTGCCAGAATCAAGGGAGAACAAAGGGATGGAACTCATTTTAAATACAGGTTTAAACTTTGGAAAAGTCACCCTCTGAGAGGTGATGTATAATAGTAGAAAACTCAGGATCAAGTTAACTTGCACAATAAAATTATTTGATATTTCCAAACGACCTCATCTGCTAAAAAAAAATGGGGAGGAGGACAATGTACGTAAACCTCATCATAAACCACACATTCCAGTGACTGGTGTTCTAGAAACAGGGGTGCATCTGCTTCAGTAAAGTCGTATTTATAAAAAGTCGGTGAGCCGTAGTTTGCCAACCCCTCCTCTGAGGCTGGTTCTGTCATTATCTCCATTTATAGATTTACAGATCACAAATAAAAGTGCACAGGGATCCACTCACAGCCTAAGATGCTACATGAACTCTGATAATGAAGTACATATAGTCAACTATTATATCATAGCAGCTTCTCTTATCACCATTATTATTAGTAAAACTCTAAAGCAGTTCAGATTTGGATTTTTCTCATTCCAAAGGTGCTGGCCAGCCATCCAATGAACAAAACCCTCAGAGTTGACCCAGAGATTGAAGACCCAACTCATGTCCTCCATTTTCTTCTCCACCTGCCCCTCTGGTTCTCTTGCACTAAAATCCTCAGTGTCCTTTCTATCTGCACCTCCCAAATAAATCACGTTCTCCCCACCCCTTTGAAGGTCCAGATCAAGACATCACAAGGGCCCAACTGTCATGCATTGATACAGCTATGAACCTGTGGGTAAAGGATCTAACAGGCTGAGGGTCTAAGGGTCTGGAGCAGGGGCAGATGATTGGCCCAAGCACTCACCAGTCCATGGCACGCGCTGAGGGCTGCAGTCCCAACTGTGGTTCCCTGCTGCAAAACTGTGCCCCTGAGATGGCAGGGAGGCCCTGAGGAGGCCAACATTTTAACATGGGAGAGGTTCCCATATCTCTTCTCCACGATGTAGCTATTGGAAAGAAATCTCTGATTGACCGTCAGGTTGAAGAACAGGTCCTTCTCCTCGTGTGAAATTTGGTAGTAGACCCAGTCCTCTGAGGAACCCAAGTCTCTCTTCCTTCTGCTGCTGGGGACAGGAAGGTGCAAGCTATATGACAGGAAATGCCCACTCTCATCTACTTGGACAGGACCCACCACCTGGTATTCTGGCAGGGTCTTGATAAAATGTTCTGAAAGAAAAAAAGAAGAAACTGAACCAGTTGAGTCCAAAGCAAAACAAATCCACTTCCACTTAGAACTCAGATTATAGTCTGATAACCATATGGATATCATCAATACTGATTTCCCTGAGCAACTCAAATTTGCACAGTGCTTTCTGGTTGGTGACATGGCAGCAGTTGGAGCTGACACTAAAGTGAAGCTCTAGATATCAATAATTTATCAGGGATGATGTAAGATGAGCATGAAGTTTGCAGAATACCATTGGAAAAGAGGCAAGATCAGCATGACAAACAGGGACATCATGAGTCTAGAATTCATTGACAAGTCACAGAGCTTCACTGTATGACAAGGTACTTAAAAGACTCAGAAACTTCCTTCTAAGTCAAGTTAGAGGAAAAAGCCTAAAACATAGTGAACCCATCACATACAGATGATCCTCACATCAATGTCAGCTTAAGCGTGATACAGCACAGACCACTTTAAAAAGAATTTGGGGTTGGGCATGGTGGTGCACACCTGTAATCCCAGCAACACAGGAGCCTGAGGCAGAAGGATAGCAACTTCAAAGCCAGCCTCAGCAATTTAGTGAGCCCTAGCAACTCAATGAGACCCTGTCTCTAAATAAAATGTTAAAAAATGAAGAAGGGTGGGGGGCTGGGGATGTGTGTGGCTCAGTGGTCAAGAGACACTGGGTTCAATCCCCTGCACAAAAAAAGAAAAAGAAAAAAAAAGAAATTGAGGTTTTTTTTCCTTAATGTTTACAAAACACACAAAAGAAGATGCTAAAGGAATATATTAGGATCTGAAGCAATGGCTTAAAAATAAGATAACTATCACTTTAAAAATGCAAGACAGAATCTGGTGGTTCCAGAGAGTGAGGCAGGAGGATTGCAAGTTCAAAGCCAGTCTCAGCAATTTAGTGAGGCCCTAAGCAATTCAGCAAGACTGTCTCAAAATAAAAGGGCTGGAGATATGGTACAGTGGTTAAGCACCCCTGGGTTCAATCCCAGGGACCAAAATGGAAAAAAACATGCAATACACACACAAAAGGTAAGCCTTTGACTCACCCAAATTTAACTCCCCACCACTGCTCCTTATTTTGATGTTTGAGAATAACAATGGAGCTAACTAGCCAGGAATCAATCATCATACTCTAGATTATAGACTAAGCAAAACAAACCATTAAATGTATAGTAAAATAACCTAATCTTTTGCTTCAGGGGGGAAAAGGGGGAAATAAAAAGAAAAAAAAAACATTTTCACTTCCCAACTAAACCCCTGGAACCTTCTAACTTGCATTACTTTGCTAATGTTCTTTCCCAAAAGATCTAAGTGTGTTTTGCATTATATCAAAATTTTGTTTACACTTTACAGATGCAATTCAGCTTCTTTCTCTTCATTCCCCTGATGACCCTTGAAGTCCCCCCCCTTTTGCCTGCACCTTTATTTCTGTACCTCCCAGAACAGCCTTACTTGACATTGCCTTTTGCTATTTAATCCTATTTATCCCTGAATCTTTTGGAGACCAGAATCTTATACATCACAGGTATTTGGTTCATATAAGCTGATGTATCAATAAACAGTTTACAGCCAGTAGACTAAAAGAATTGAACTTGATGGGATACAGTTTAAAGGAGCTCTCCCCTCAGAAAACAATGGCATTCAAATATTATTTATGAAATCATCCTTCTCCACCTTGGATGAAATATGGGGCAGAGTACAGTGTTTCCATTCTCAGGTACTAATAAATAGTCTCAATTTTTCAAGTATAAAAGTTCAGACCAATTACATCCAACTGGGACTTTTAGGCCCAACTTACCACATAGCAACAAAGACAAATCTTAAAAACAGTGCTCAATAAAATAAGAAACAAGACAAGTTAATACAGAGCTAATTATATTCATGAAATGCCCGTGCACATGAGTACACACACACAATAATAGAAATAATAGGAAATTTTTCAGAACATGTGCAAACAAAAAGTACATATGGAACCTGTTAAAATGGGTTTTCGTGGAGAGGAACCAAGTAGGGATGGAGAACAGAAATTTATAAATACATATCACAAAAGAGAGTTGTACAAATTAATGATGCCAGTGTGCCATGAACTAAGGAGTGTAACTGACTCAGTCTGCCCTCTATCTCCCACTCACTGCCCCAGAAATGTCTGGGCAGATCTAATATTGGCACTTCCCTGGCCTTCCAAGTTCAGACCTGAATGAAGAGAGGCGTGGCCAGTTGGGAGCGGTGGGTGTGGCCAGCTTCTGCAGTACTCCCCTCCAGTTGCTTTTCTCTTCTGCAGCTCACAACAGTGGGCTGGCTGCTCCAGGTGCTGACCCCCCTTCTCAGGAGTAGCTCTCTGAGCTTTGGGTGACCTCTGTCACTGGGGAGTGTCCCCGTCCCCTCAATATGGGCCATTCCTCCTCCAACCGACAATCCTTAGACTTTCTATCTGTCACCCCTGTACTATAGCTGATTCACCCCTATAGTATGTCCTCTTTGGCATTTTTCAAGATGATCCAAGTTGCTTCCCATGGGGCCCAAATCAAGCTCACAGGAAATAACCATGATCCGTTCCCAGTCCCGCAAAGTCAGAGAAATCATATCATTCCTCTAAGGTCATCCCATTGGTTGGCTCTGTCACCAAATGCCATTCCAACTGGGCTTTTGCCTATCTGCATATTCAAGCTCCTTACTCCCCAAATCCACCTCAAACTCTTTGAGCTCTTTGAAGGCCCCTTCCTTTGCCTTAGATGGGAGCACAGTAGAGGGTAATGCCCCAGTACTCTGGCTTTCTCCTGAGAAAGTCACTCTCCAGTATCTTTCCATTGACCTTTAAGCCTCTCATGTATGCACAAGAAAGGGGAAGGCTTACAATCATATCTAAGTCATATCATAGCTATGCTTACATGGTTCAGAATTCTCTTTGTGAATATGTGGGACATTAACCTCTTTTCTTTTCTCTTTACACTTAAAGTCTCAGCAGAAACTGAGACCAAATTAAACATCTCAGTTTCAAACCATTTTACATATGCAAATCTCTGCATCTCTGCACCAAAACAGAGAAACAAGTGTCTTTTCTAAAAACTAGTTTTTCCAGAAAGCCATTACTAAGCAAATGAAGGTGAACACAACCAAAATCACCTAAATCAAAAAAAAAAAAAAAAAAAATTCTGAGTAAAATGTTATACTCTTTGGACAAAACTAAAAACAATTAAAAATGTTTTATTCAAGAATTTCAAGTTGTCATGAAGTGGAGATTGACAAATGCAATTTTAAATCGATCTCACAATTTTAAAAATGGCCCTAAATAGGGCTGGGGTTGTGGCTCAGTGGTAGAGTGCTTGCCTACCAAGTATGAGGCACTGGGTTCGATTCTCAGCACCACATATAAATAAATTAATAAAATAAAGGTCCATCGACAATTTAAACATTATTTTGAAAAACAGTCCTAAGTGGATAATTTCTGTGAATCCCTATGTCAAAACGGCATTGTGCATATTTAACAATCATGGCAATTACGCAGAAATATGAAAACAGTAGGGTATAATAACAAAGGGGTAATCAATATATAATTGTGTCTTCATTACAATTGCAACTGTGATACACATACACATGCTCACACATGAACCAAGCCTTTCAGATAATGTGTAAAAAATGATGGTGATCTTTGGGGTGTGATTTTCCCTTTTGAAATTTGTCTTTCCTATACTGTTTTCCCAATTACATGTAAATAGTGAAAAGGACCAGGTGCTATGCTGGCTCATGAGAGGATTAGAAAAATGCCAGGAGAGGGGATAAGGGAGGGATGCCAACACTCCAAGGCCTGCACCTGTGCCCATCCTGGCTGGCTGAGTCCCTAGGGAAGAACTAACCTAAGAAGGCATCTCTGCACAGTTCCTGGAGATGAGGAGAGCGTCGCAACAGTTAAGCACAGGGTCCTCTCAAACGGAAGGAGTTTGGTGTAACCGAAAGGGATGTCAGCAGGAGATAAGGATACAGGGAAAAGGAAGCCAAAGGGTAGAATGAGCCTTGGACATTCTTTCTGCAGTGTGCAGCCCCCCCCCCCCCGAGCCATCCAGCAGAGAAAGGTAATAATCCCAGTTTTGAGTTAGAAAAACGACAACAACAAGAATGAACTTAGTTGAAGAGCTATTTTGACTTTTTTGCAGAGAGAAACACATCCAAGTTTCCTGACTTGAAATAAGCCTAAGAAGAATTGCCTCTAAAGATATATCTCAGAGATTTAAATATGATTTTCAAGAGTACAAAATGAAAGAATAAGGCTTGCCTAAGCCCCGAAATCTATTGCCTAAAAGAGTAAAAAAGCAAACAAATTTACAGATTTTTTTTTACCCAATTGCTTTTGGTGTAATGAGTTTTTAAAGAGAGCCAACATAAATTGGCTGTATAATAATAATATAATGATGATAATTACAGTAACTTTTTAATGAGCACTTACCATGAGTCAGGTATAATCAGGCTTCCCTCATTCAATACTCAAAACAACTGTGTGGTATAAAAATCAGTTGTTGTGCCCATTGCACAGAGAAGAAAACTGAGTCTAAAAATGCAACATTACTTGGGTCAAAATGCTGAGACTTCTATTTCAAAATTATGCTTTCAATCAAGGAATTGCATATGCATTAAGAGAAACAGATTCCAAGAGAGCAAACAGAGTTAGAGGAAGCAGCAATGCTCCTACGGATGATGACCAGGAAAGAATGGCTTGATCTCTGTATTTCTCAATTCACTAGACAATACGTGGAGATCAGAACTGCCTCTTAACTGACCATGGTAATGGGAGACACCATCAGTTTTCCCTTCTGATTTGCTTGCAAAGGAAGGTAGTTGGGAGGCTCCAATGTGCTAATAAATGTAATGGATTTAAAACAATGCTTGACAAGTACCATTGACCAGCCAAACCCTAACATGGTTGGTATTAAAGGTAGAAATTTTGTGGCCTGGGATCTCAGGGCTCTCCATATATGGAACCTCTAGGCAGAGA